GGCAGTGAATGGTGGCTCGGTAGGGCGCCCAGTGGGTCCCATGAGGAAGGACACCCACACACATGACGCTGTTTGCTCGGGCTCACTCAGCTATGGTGACAAAGCCAGGGCTGACACCCCTGCCACTCTCCACCCAGTGGTTTGCTTCCAGCTCCCCACAGAAAGGCCTTGTCTGTCCCCCTCCTCTGGCCACCTCCTAAGCCCTCCCCCTCCTGCCTGGAGTCCCTCGTTGCTGGTTCCTGGGCTCAGTCTTGTAGGGACGCGGGCAAAACACCTCTGAGAGGCGAGCACTCCTCAGAGGCGGCAGCAGAGAGACAGCAGCCAACCCGGGCACCTCAGGGAGACACGGATCAGAGTTGGGGTGGGAAGTGAGACGGTGGGGTGTAAGATGTTTTCAGGGTCAGTTGGAGGCCAGAGTAATGGTCACGAGGTAAATGGGACCCCCCCCAAAATCTCCATTCCCTATAGTGGTGACTAACAGGCCAGGGCCTCAGCTTTGCATCCCATTTTCAGGGCTCAGCTTTCTGTATCCAGATCAGAATGAAGGGTGACTTGGGCGTTGCCAACTAGCGAGGCACATATGGAACCCAGGGACAGCTCGAGGGTCTTGGGAAGCTGTGTCCATGAGTCACCCCTCTCCTTGCTGAAACGGTAACCACGGCACCGACAGTTTAAGGGGAGAGAGGTTTGCTCTGTTCAGGTCTCAGTCCACGGTTGCCTGGTGCCAAGGTGAAGACGTCATGATGGAAGGGTGTGGCAGAACAGAGCCGCTCAGTCCAGCGCAGCGGAGGGGAAGCAGGGGGAGAAGAGAGGATGGGGAAGAGGGATGAGAGACCCAAGTCACGCCTCATGATCCACCCGGACACAGGCTGAAGTGTGTTCCACCTTCCCCAGGGTAGAACCCAAAGGCAATCCAAGGAGACACTCACTTTAACCACCCAGAGCCTCAGGGTAGCCTTCCCACTAAGCTACACCCTGCAGCCTTTCCCTGTATTTTTATTTTGAAACATGGTCTCACGAAGTCACTAAAGTTGTCTAACTGAGCTTGAATTTGAACTGGAGATTCTCCTGCATCAGTCTCCCAGAGTGCTGGGATTACAGGCCTCAAGACCTTTTTGGGGCACATTCTGCTAGGCTGGCCCCCCTACCCTGAGCCTAGGAAGGGGCTGATTCCGTGTTTCCTTGAACAAGAGGAGCTGAGGTCCCAGGTCAGTGGTAGCAAACCTTTCAGAGACTGAGTGCCTAAACTGCAACCCCGAACCCACTTACTGATTGCAGAGTGGCAACACTGCAGTTAAACCTGAATGCTCAGCTCTGGGGTGGCTTGGCCCGTGTGCTGACAGAAAGAGCTGTGTGTGCCCGCTGTGGCATGCATGCTATAGGTTCGCCACCTCTGTCCTAGGTGAAGGAATCAGCGATCTAGGTTTGTCTGGCATCTGCTTCATGCTAAGGAATGGGATTGGGGAGCTGAGTGTCAGTCACACTGAAGCCTCATTTACTATCACCACAGAAAGTATAGTAATTCCCACATTTTATATATGTATAAGATTCATTTATAGTGTCTCACTATGAAATTCATGCTGGCCTTGAACTCTGAATTTCAAGGGGGCCTCAAACTCGTGATGATTCTCTTGCCTCAGCCTCCAAATGATGATGGGATTATAGGCGTGTGCCACCGTGCCTGGCCCTTCCCTGTTTTATAGATGAAGAAACTGATACTGAGGCTTTGTATGCAAATTTTTGCCCCTAACTCAGACCTACCTAGAATTTCCTGGCAGTAGATTTGAAAATCTCTATTAAAGGTCACCATCAACTGGGTGTGGTGGCACATGTAATCCCCCCTGGGGAAGCTGGAGCAGGAGGATCTCAATTTCAGGCCAGCCTGGCTTACATAGCAAGTTCAAGGCCAGCTGGATTGTACAGTGAGATTCTATCTCAGAAAACAAAACAAACAAAGTGGTGAGACACACCTGTAATTCCAGCACTCTGGGAGCCTGAGATAGGAGGATCAAAAATTCTGACTCAGCCTGGATTTAGTGAGTTTTAAAATATAAAAGGCTGCTGGGTGTGGTGGCACATGCCTATAATCCCAGCAGTTGGAGGCTGAGGCAGGAGGATCTCTGTGAGTTCAAGACCAGCCTGGGCTACAAAGTGAACTCAAGGCCAGCCTGAACTGTATAGCAAGACCCTGTCTCAAAAACACAAAAAAATAAAAAAAATTAAAGCTAAGAAGCTGGCCTTGGTGGCACACATCTGTCATCCCAGTGCTTAGGAGGCTGAGGCAGAAAGATTGCTTTGAGTTTGAGGCCAGCCTGGGATATATAGCAAGATCCCATCTCAAAAAACCAAATGAGGGGCGGCAGGGATATAGCTCAGCAGCACAAGCGCCTGCCTGGCAAGTGCAAGGTCCTGAGTTCAATTCGCAGTACCAAAAACAACAACAACAACAACAAAAAAAAAACAAAAAAACCAAAAAAAAACAAACCAAACAAATGAGGGGCTGGGGATCTAGCTCAGCAGCACAAGTGCTTGCCTGGCAAATGCCTGCCTGGAAAGTGCAAGGTCCTAAGTTCGATTCTCAGCACCAAAAAAATGAATGAACAAATGGGAATTTAGTTCAGTGTGAAGGTCCTAGTTTAACTCTCTATAGTGTGCGCGTGTGTGTGACCATTAGATAATTCTGGTGCTCACAAAACTCCCCAATAAAACAGGCAAGGTGGTTTCTCAGCGGTGGAGCTGGTGGGAACCTGGGCCTTCCCAAAGTAAACCCAGGGCTCGGTTACCCTGTTCCCACAGCTAGAGTCCCTTGCCCTATCTCAGTGTGTGCCAACCTTAATCTTTCCCCAGTGCTTGAGGGGCAAGCGGAGCATGAGGCTCTGACCGCTGCTTCCTGTGGGTCCGGGCGGGGAGCACCTGCACCCCTGAGACGTTACCTGCACACTGGGACCCATTGCTTTCAGAAAAGCCACTGGCAGAAGATCCGCACCATGGTGAACCTGCCGGTCATGAGCCCCTTCCGGAAGCGCTACTCTTGGGTACAGCTGGCGGGGCACACGGGTGAGCAGGGGTGCCATGGGCAGGCGTGGGTGGGCACGGCCAGGCGCGGGAGGGCCGAGGGGGGCGGCCTTGCTCACGGTGGCCTCACAGGGAACTTCAAGGCGGCGGGCACAAGTGGGCTGATCCTGAAGCGCAGCTCGGAACCGGAGCGTTATTGCCTGGGCCAGCTGATGGGGGACGCGCTGCGTGGCTGCGTGCCCACCTTCCACGGCGTGGTGGAGCGCGACGGTGAGAGCTACCTGCAGCTGCAGGACCTGCTGGATGGCTTCGATGGGCCCTGCGTGCTGGACTGCAAGATGGGCGTCAGGTGCGTGAGCCCCCGGGGGTACCCCGGTGAGCGGTGGGTGGGGTCCCTGCGCACCCTCATGCCCCGCCTACGCTCCACAGAACTTACCTGGAAGAGGAGCTGACCAAGGCCCGGGAGCGCCCCAAACTGCGCAAGGACATGTACAAGAAGATGCTGGCAGTGGACCCCGCGGCACCCACGGAGGAGGAGCATGCGCAGCGGGCTGTCACCAAGCCACGCTACATGCAGTGGCGGGAGGGCATCAGCTCCAGCACCACGCTTGGCTTCCGCATCGAGGGCATCAAGGTGGGCCTGGTCCCTTCGCCCTGCCCTGCCCGGGTCCTTGCTCTACCCTGGCCAGTCCACAGTCCCTCCCTTCTGCACCCGCATCTCCTTGTCCTCAAAAGCTAACATCCTTCGGAGAGCAGGGAGGTACCGCTGCCCTGGCCAGATCCTCTTCCTCAGGCGGATCACGCCCTCACACTCCCTGCCTGCCTCTTTCAGAAAGCTGACGGCTCCTGCAGTACTGACTTCAAGACCACGAGAAGCCGGGAGCAGGTGACCGGAGTCTTTGAGGAGTTTGTGCAAGGAGATATGGAAGTGCTGGTGAGAGCCTGGTCCTAGAACCCTGAGGTGCTGAAGCCCTTGATCCCAAGGGTGCCTCCTGCTCATCTGTTCTAGTACCTCCCCCAGCATTTATCTCGCTGTGTTAAAATTGTTTCGTGGCCCTTCCCTCTGGGCCCTTCGGAGGCCTGTCTCTTCCTCACAACCGAATTTACCAGCTGAGAATGCATGGTGGCTACAGGGTCTCCTTTAGCACGCAGGTAATCTGCCCGCTCTACCCTATCTAGAAAAGGTATCTGAACCGCCTGCAGCAGATCCGGGATACCCTGGAGGTCTCCGAGTTTTTTAGGAAGCACGAGGTAAGAAGCCTGGGTGGGCTCAGGTGCTGGGGGTGTGGCCTGTGAGGGATTCCTCAGAAAGGGGCTGTGGCCTGACTGTGTGGGGCTCGCAGGTGATCGGCAGCTCGCTCCTCTTTGTGCATGATCATTGCCATCGCGCTGGCGTGTGGCTCATCGATTTTGGCAAGACCACGCCCCTTCCAGACGGCCAGATTCTGGACCACCGGCGGCCCTGGGAGGAGGGCAACCGAGAGGACGGCTATCTGCTAGGGCTGGACAATCTCATTGGCATCCTAGCAAGTCTCGCGGAGAGATGAGGCCGGGCGCTGTTGCCACTCGGGCCTGCCAGTCAGAGAGACGTGGACCTGTGGCTGTGACCCCACAGTGCATGCCAGCAAGACCAAACCCCGCTGGGCGGGCAGTTACTCAGTCCTGCAGGGCCAGGTGCCAACCACTAAGGGGTGTGTTGCCAGCACAGGGAGTTGGCCTCACGCAAGCCCCACACTCCCAGAGCTGGGTGACACTAATGTAACGGAGGGGAGAACAGTGGGCTTCTGCCTCAGCTCTGCACCCTTCCAGAGGGACCAGATAAAGAATTTCATTTCACAAGTCTGGATCTATTGGACAGGCTTCCCACACTACAATGACTCCCCAATAAAAAAAACTCAAAGACCCAGCTTCTCTGACTCAGGTCTCATTCCCTCCCACTCTGGTCCCTTCTATAGTTCTGGACTCCTTCATGTCCACTCAGATCATGGCAGATGTGAAAAGAGCTTTTATTAGAAACATCTGCAGGGTTCGGAGCTGCCCGGATGAAAATGCCTTGTGAGAAAGGGGAATCCGGGACCCCTGGGGCTGTTTCCAGCAAGGAAAGTCCAGTGTATCCGGACAACCCTGAGACAGGCCCAGGCATGCCTCAAGGCTGCAGGGGACAGAGGCTACTGGAATAACAAGCTTTGTGGAAAGCCAGGAAGCAATGCAGGAGGAGCCTTTGCTAAGGTCAATGCCAAGCGCTCACCTTCAGGGCCCTCTGGGGGTCTAGGAACCATAGGTGGGATTCCAAAGGTTCTGAGGTTGAAGACCTCTGGGTTTGAGGGGCTTGAGGCCAGAGGACAGCCAGCGGCCAAGATGGCTTCCTGCCAAGCTTTTCTGGATTTTTGGACTCTGGCTCTGGGGTTGTGGGAACATGGGACCCTCCAAAGACCTATTCCCCAGCCCAGAAGCCCCTTCCTCCTCCAGAGCGGGCCCCAGAGTCATCGACAGGGGTGAATTCAGCACATCAGGGTCCTGTGGTGGGAAGATGGGGAGCAAGGGGCCTTTTGGTTATTTTATGGCTTCCAGATCTGCAAGGAAGGGACTGAGGGGCTAAGTAAGGGGCTGGGCACACCTGAGTGCAATACTGGAGGTGCTGCAAGATGCTGGCGAAGTTGGGGCGGAGCTCAGGTCGATGCTGCCAGCACTGGGTCATGATGCGGTACCTGTGAGGGACAGGAGTTTGAGCCCCATGGTCTCCAGGAACCTCCCTCCTGGGCAACCTGGAAACTCACACAGGCCTGGGGCAGCCCTGAGGAGGGTCCATCCGGCTCCCTGCAACAACGAAGTCCAGCACCTCTAGGTTGGTGCGCCCAGGATAGGGCATGTACCCCAGTGAGAAGATCTCCCAGAGCAGTACCCCAAAAGACCTGCATCACAGGTGGAGGACAACAAGTGAAGCTCATCAATCATGTTCGACCTTCCCTGCCCTCAGATGAGGCAGGATGGGCCTCTGGGCAGGGAAGGGGGCAAGGGGAGGGAGTGTTATCACCAGGAGTCTGTCTTGGATGTGAAGATGCCCTCCAGAAGGGCTTCGGGGGGCATCCACTTCACTGGAAGGAAGGCCGGGCCAGCCCTGCGGTAGTAACTGTCCCTGTGGGAGGGAGGAGGAAAACAACCAGCTGTTCAAATACCGTCAAAGTGCTGGTGAACTCCTGGAAGCCCAGCTTTCCCACCTCCCCAAGTTCCACACCGGTAGATATTTCTGGCCATCCCAAAGTCCCCAATCTTGGCCACTCGGCCAGGCCCAGTGCAGCTCAGCAGGCAGTTCCGGGCAGCAATGTCCCTGCAGAATAGGGCAAAAAAGCACCACTGTCAGAACTCAGCTCTGGCCCTTCCTGCTGTACTTCCCTAAAAGTTGGGTGCAAGGGTTGTTCTTTGGGCAATGAGTTGGGCTGGGGGTCCCTGAGCCAGGAATGCTCCAGACCTGTGAATGAAGTGATTCTCCTCCAGGTAGTGGCACCCCTGGGCTATGTCCTGGGCCAGCTGCAGGAGATCCTGCATGGCCAGAGGTGATGGTTTGCCCTGGGTCAGACAGAGGGTGCGGAAGTCCATGTTGGTCTTGGGACACATGGACAAGATCTCTGATTTAGAGGGGCCTAGGGCCTGGGAAAAGGGCTCACCAAATGAGGCCGGCTCTCCATCAGGAAAGTCTTCATGTCCCCTCCAGACATCAGCTCTAGAAGAATGAGGCGAGGCACAGCCTGGAAGCTGAGCCCCACGCAGCGCACGATGTTCTGGTGGCTGAGCTTGCTGGTGGGTAGGGGCACATCAGGAGATAAGCAGGTTCTGGGCACCACACACTGCAGAGTACCTCTCCGTCCCAGGGAAAAGCCATTCCTGTGGGTAGGCCTGGGGCTCTTCCTGCCCCGGGCCAGCCCCTGCCCACCCAGTCGGGCGCACCTGATGATGTGCACCTCCATGAGGAAGTCTAGCTCCTCCCGAGGAGAGCAGAGTTTCCGCAGAGCCTGGGGAGGAAGAGTGCAGCAATCCTGAGTCCCACTGGACACTGGGGAGGACAGTTAACCCTTACTCGAAGGTCCATTCATCATCTCTCCGTGGTGCCCTGCTGCCTACCCCCAGCAAGAAGTTCCACCCCATCTCACCTTGACAGCCACCCTCAGGGGGCTGGGTTCCCCAGGAAGGCCAGTTACCAGTCCCTGGTACACCTCCCCAAAGGCACCACGGCCCAGCGCACTGCAGGAAGACAGGTTGGGAGTGGGTTAAGATTCCTCCATCTGCTTTGTCCCACTGTGGCCCAGCCGACCCTATCTGAGCTCTGCACCATGAATGTCCAGAGCATAAGACCTGAAGGTGAGTTGAGCACTGGCTCACAAAGCCAAGGCAAAAGGAGGGTGCAGCTGGGTGAGGGTTTGGGATGGGGTCACCCCTTACTTTGTTGCAGGTACTTTTGCAGTTGCAGGGGAGGTGGCTCTGGGGCTCCAGAAAGAGTCATATTCCAAAATCCCTACCATTCCAGAACTGGTCCAGAGGACTGACCTTGAATAAGTGACCTCCCTTTGGCACTGTCTGAGCCTCCATCTCCCTAACACAAAGGGTTTGACTTGGATGTTTGCTGGGCCCCATAGTGCAGGAGCAAGATGGGGGTGGGGATTCACAATGCTTGGGTTCTCGGAAGAGGCACAGGACTCACCTGAGCAGAGTGACATTGGCTGGGGAAACCTCAGGGAGCCCAAAAGGCCAGGACTGGGCTGGGCCAAGCCCCACCTGGCAGTAATAGGAATTGGGGGCTGTCCTGAGGGCGCAGGTTCGAAGCTTGCTCAGCTCAAGCTCAGTGTCCGGCAGCCTTGTCCCCCACAGGCCCTGCCACTTCTTCTGGCTCACTGGGAATGGGAAGAACAAACACTCGCCCTCTCCCTGTCCACCAGGCCACACTGCCTCCCGCTCCCCAGGCACCTGTCCAGATGCCTGTTCCCCAGGCCTCCCAGCTACCCCTACTCTTAGAAGCCCAGGGGAGTCTGCCAGCACTCTGTGTCCACCGCACCTCCCCCAGAACCCCCCAGAAGCCCACCACAGCTCGGTGGGAGAAGGGGAAGTCTCAAATGAGCCATGCCTGCTGATGCCCGTACCTAAGATCAGGGCCCCGCAAACCATGAGGAGGCTCAGTGTCAAGGTTGCTATCACAGCCACCATCAGAACCACAGGGCTTGGAGGCCTGGGCAGGTCTAAGGAAGAGACACACTTCCAGAGGGCGACTCCCCTCTGTCCCTCTAGTCTTAACCATCCCTGAGACTCAGCTCAGTTACACCCAGATGCCACCCCCAATTATCCTAGATAAAAAGCAACCTCTCCCTGAGAACCCCTAAACACTTGATATCTCCCATAGCAACTGCCATTTTTAGATATGTATCTATACATCTACATCTAAATAACCCGTCTCGCCTCCCACACTAGCCTGCATGCTCCTTGAAGTGTGCACCAGTGCACTTCCAACCCCTGCCCAGCACCCAACAGTGCCTGGCATGTAGCAGGCCTCTGTACCATCTTTCTCAGTACCCACGGCTCCTACCAGCCTGTGACCCAGAGTCAGAGCCCGAGGAAAGATAAGACATACCAGTGCAAGTGATGTTATCCGCAGCTAGCCTCATGCCCTCTGGGCACACACATGCAGCCAGCTGGAGCTCTGCCTGCCACTGGCAGTCTTTCAAAGGACAATGGCTGCAGTTGGGATGTCTTCGGATCTCTACTTCTCCATGGCTCTCCATGACTGTGAGTAAAACAACGCATAAGGTGGGGCGCTGGTGGATGGGAAGTAGGGACGGGTATGGGATATACATGTCTTTTCTAGCTACATGGTTAATTCTAGCCGAGGTGTTTAGGGCAAGCCACGCCAGGGACACAGGATGGTTGGAGAGTCTGGAGACTGGTGTCCAGACATCTCCCTTCTGGAACCACTGAGCCCCTAGGTATTTGAAGAGATTCCATATCAAGGGGAAACTTGACAAGCACTCCTGAATGTCCCATACCGGTATCCCAAGTCCCCTTCCCAAATCTTCCTGTGCTTCATAAGAACCAGGTAGCAGGCAGTGCAGCCCTGGTGGCTGCCATGGAAGGAGGCATGTTGCAGGCACGGGAAGGACTGGGCCAAACTGAGAGGAGGAGGTAGGGCCAGTACCTGCTAGAGGCTGCAGGTACAGCTCGCTGTTGGGGTGTACAAAGGACACCCCATCTTCCCCGTCAGCCCAGGGGATGTCCGTTGATGAGGCATCACCTCCTGGAAATTGAGTGATAGAGGGTTTGACACAAGATGGAATGGGGCTAAGGTGGGGGGCATAGCTGCCTCAGCTGGGGCGCTGGCTTATGAAGCGTGAGGAAGCTCGCCTCTTCCGGTGTGGTCTTCCCTACCCTGGCATTGCTGTACAGGTGCGCATGCTCACCAGTGGATGCTCAGGGGCCAGAGATCTGGCAGGATGAATCAGTTAGAACCTGAAGGCTGGCGCAGGCTGCCTGGGACACTCCTACCTGAACCCTCCAGGTTCAAGTCCTTGGCTAGGAAAAGGGAGAACCCAGCGCACACACATTCCATTTTTCTGAGAATGGAGATGATGTGTGTACAGTGCTTATGAACTGCACAGCCCAAACAGATGCAAAGGCTGTTTCTCTTCACATGTGGCCCCCAATTCTGGACCACTTTAGGATCCCCTGCAAGACTGATAAAAACAGGGCTGGGGATTTAGCTCAGCGGCAAAAGCGCTTGCCTGGCAAGCGCAAGGTCGTGAGTTTGGTTCCTGGTACCGGAGAAACCCCCCCCCCAAAAAAAAGAGACTGATAAAAACAGATGGCTAGGACCCTCCTCTGGAATTTTCAATTCAGTAGACCGGAAACAGTTAAGAATTTATATTCATTTTAAAATTTTTTTTTGGTGGGTCTAAGGATGGAACCTAGGGCCTCTGCACTGAACTGTGTCTCCAATCCTTTTTAAGATTTAAAAAAAAAAAATTAAATAGAAAAAAAAATAGCTGGGTGCAGTGGCGCTTGCCTGTAATCCCAGCATTCAGAAGGCTGAGGCAGGAGGATCATTGTGAGTTTGAGACCAGCATGGGCTACAAAGTGAGCTCAAGGCTAGCCTAGACTGCATAGTGAGACCCTGTCTCAAAAAGAAAAAAAAAAAGAAAGAAAAAATTTCAAAACAAGATAATAGGAGGGTAACAATGGTTAATATATTGCATATTTTATCTTTAAATCAGTTACTCAGAGTACAAAATATCAGCATTTAATTGTCCAAGCA